TATACTTAAGTATATAATATGCATATTTACACATATTTTACATATATTACACATATTTCTTAACATTCAAATCACAATTTTGCCTTTGTTTCTCTGTACAGCTCATTCACCTCATTCTCTGATCACATCTCCCATTGCAGCCACAGTAAACTACTTGAAGTTTTCTGAATTGAACATTTTCTCTCAAATGCCTTGCAAGCTCTCTCTCCCTCAGCCTAGAAAACCTATTCTGCTCCTCTGCTCCTCTTTTTAAATGGCTAACTGTTCATGTTATGTCAAGACACCTCTTAATCATCATCACCTTCCTTTGAATGCCTGATCAGAATTTAGTGTCTTTTATTAGTTCTTTTCCTTTCTTTTCTAATTACAGTACAGCATTCAAAATAAATTCTTTTTTTAAATACGTTTTTATTGACTTTCTACAGAGAGGAAGGGAGAGGGATAGAGAGTTAGAAACATCGATGAGAGAGAAACACTGATCAGCCGCCTCCTACACGCCCTGCACTGGGGATGTGCCCGCAACCAAGGTACATGCCCTTGACTGGAATCAAACCTGGGACCCTTGAGTCCGCAGGCCGACGCTCTATCCACTGTGCCAAACCGGTTCTGGCATCAAAATAAATTCTTGATCACACCCATTTTATTCATCACAAATTATATAGAACACAAAAATCAGATTGGGTGTTGCTTCCTTTCAGAGCGAGGCAAGTCTTGTTAGTACTTGTGATGTTGGTACAGCAATGCCAGCTGCAATCACTAAAGCTGAACAAAGACTCCTACCCACAGACTGGAACAGCCAGTCTCCCTGGAATTTCCCTTGGAAAGGAACAAAGAACAGCACTGCAGCATCAGGTGCCCAGAGGTGGAGGGCAGCAGTGAGAAGGAGCTTTGTTAAGTACTCTGCCTGGTTCTGGCACTGTTGTTCTCTAGGAACAATGGAGAGCTGCGTCAGGATCACCGGTAAGTGTAAGATTTAGGATCGAGTTCTCTGTTCATAGATGGTCAGCACTTCTTCCATCCCTTCCTCTTCCTTGTGCCTTCTGGGAGACCACCTGTCCCTACATTTCAAGGGACTTGACAGATATATATACAGACTAGCGAGATAATATGAACAGAGATTCTAGTCCCCTCCAGGGAAAGTCTTTTCTCATTGTTCCTTTGTGGGTCATTTAAACCTCACTCTGCATGTCACAGCAAATGTTGGGCTGGATTTCTGGAGTCTGCTTTGTTCAGGCATAAAGAAAATGTTATTCTTATGCATGTTATTCCCCAGTCACCTTGTCATACAACCAGTCACCATCCATGTTCCTCTATCTCTAACCTCTTCCTTCCTTCCTCCCTCTAAAAATCAATAAAATTTTAAAAAGAGTTGGAGTTTCCAGATCCACCAAATAAGTATTGCAGGATGCCAAATATTGGGTGGGAAATATGTATACCAGAAAGTTATTCAGTGTATGGACAAAAAAAGGGAGGTTCTATTGAAAGTAACCTCACACAGGTGTCTGATCATAAACTCCTAATTAGGCAAGTATTGGTGGGTCATCATGTCCCAGACATATAACTTTCTAGTACAAGGTTTATCTTTGCCCTAAGGAAGCTCTGTACATTGTTTCTGTGGATCTAGATTAACACGCCTTTGAAATAAGCTTCGAACATCAAGAGAGCCTATCATCTAGTTAGTCATCCTATAAACCAATCCCCACCTTGATTTTTCCCACCTTCATGTAATCTTCCTTATGTCCCCTCTTTAATTCCAAATGCATAAAAAAGCTGCAAAACTGTTATTCTCCAAGTCATTTGAGCATATGACCCAGACATATGTCTTAGTTTGGCTCATAAACTCATAAAAATTCTCTACAGGTTTGGGCATTCTTATATCCATAACTTTATTTGATATTCAAATAACTGGAACTCATAGAGCACTCTTACAACATCTTCTGGCAACAAACACTACTTGAAAGTTTATTAATGCATAAAAAGCATGCTAAAATATGTGATTTCTGGAAATTCTTACTTCTGTTATTGCTGTTTCTGAACCCTCCTCACTTGTTATCACAGGTGTAATGGAAACTACAGGACCATCTCTCACCAGATACTTTGTTCCCATGCTCCTCCTTCAGATGGCAGCACCAAGTTCAGGTACGACCCTCTCTTCTACCTGTGTGAGTCCTGGCAGTATCAAGTATGCCAGAAAAAGCAAGAACCAAAGAAAAGGGTTAAGCTCTTTTGACCATTGTTCCTCAGGTTTAATACATAATTATGTAATGAGGACGTGTACTATAGGATCCAGCTTATGGCTGGGGAAAATTATTTCTAATCAGCAAGTCTTCTTTATCATGTACCTGGATTTATGTTAAATTCCTGGGAAAAGAAGCAAATGAAGAAGACCTAATACTTGCCCTTGAGAACCCAATATTCATATTGAGGAGACTCAGTGTATGTGTCACTCACACAGTGAGGAAGTGGCCTAGGATATGGGTCCATGTTAGAATCCATGTGAGTTATCAGTGCAGTGGGGCAGCCAGTGAGGAAGGAATAGGTTTGTGGGAGCCAACACGTGGTAAAATTTGCCTTTGTAAGGGGATCTATGCAAAGCAGAAATAAATATAGCTTATTTAGAGACAAATATAAGCAACGCCTGAGACAACAAATGGCATAAAAGATAAAGTTTCTAGTAAAAATTACTTGTTAAAGAGTAGAAATCTTACTGGTGCACTTTTTTTTGTATACTGTCTTTGGCTGATAAAAGTAACGCTTCCATGAACATTTTACACATGCATTTGACAAAACCTGTGAGTACATAGGTAGGAAATATTCCTATGCATAGAACTGCTGGTCAAGGTTATGTGCTATTTTATTATGTTGCAAATATTTTTCTGAAATAGTTACCAACATACTTTTCCACCACCAGTATATGTGAGTTTGTCAGGTGGGTCATAATGTTGCATATCCACCAATCATATAGAATTATTTTACCATTTTAAAAATGCTTTATTCCCATCTACTCATCTCTTTCTCCCTCTGAAGCCCTAGCAAACACTTTTGTCTACTGTCTGCATATTTTCCCATTTTTCAGAATGTCATGTAGTTGGAATCAAAACGTAAGTCTTTTCAGAGGGGCCTCTTTTATTTAGCAACGTGCCTTTAAGGTGCTCCCATTTCTTTTCTTTTTTAATTTTTAAAACATTAATTTATTTTCCAATTACAGTTGACATACAATGTTATAGTAGCTTCTGGTGTGATTAGATATTTATATCCCTTTTGAAATGATCATCCCAATAAGTCTAGTATCCATCTTGCACATAGTTATTATAATATTCTTGACTATATTTCCTATGCTGTACTTGACATTCCTGTGATTATTTTATAACTGGTGACTATATTTCCTATGCTGTACTTGACATTCCTGTGACTACTTTTATAACTGGCAATTTATAAATATTCGCTTTCTGCCTTTTCACCCATTCCCCCAACCCACCTCTCATCTGGTGATCATCAATTTGTTCTCTGTATCTATTAGTTTGTTTCTCTTTGTTTGTTTGCTTATTCATTTATTTGATTCCACAGAGGATGAAATCATTTCTGTCTTTGACTTATTTCACTTATCATAATACCCTCTAGGTTCATCCATTTTGTCACAAAGTATAAGAGTTTATTCTTTCTTATGGCTATATATGCATGTATTACCTCTTTTTATCCCTTTGTCTATCAATGGACACTTAGGTGACTGCCATATCTTAGCTATTGTAAATAATGCTGCAATATACATATGGATGCATATATAGGGTGGAGCAAAGTAGGTTTATAGTTGTTCACATGGATATTAATATAATAATAAATAATAATACAAGAATAAACTCTGTGCTTCATGTACTCACAACTGTCAACCTACTTTGGCCCCACCCTGAATTTTTTAAAATTAGTGTTTTGTATTTCTTCAGATAAAGATTTAGAAGTGGAATTTTCTGGGTTATATGGTAGCTCCATTTGTAACTTTTTGAGTAAACTGCACATTGTTTTCCATAGTGCCTACAACAAATTACAATCCCACCAAGAGTGCACAAGGGTTCACTTTTCTCTACATCCTCAATAACATTTATTTTTTATTTATTATTTATAGATATTCTGAAAGGTGTGAAGTTTGATATCTCATTGTAATTTGGATTTGGATTTCCCTGATGATTAGTGTTTTCAAGCATTTTTTCATAAGTCTATTGGCCACCTATATGTCCTTTTTGGAGAAATGTCTGCTCAGGTCTTCTGCCCATCTGTAGGGGATGTTTAGAACCCATTGATATTTAGAATGGCAGAAATTCAGATTATCCTTATGAGTCAAGTTAGAAATTAATGTGGAATTATTAAGAACAGAAATATATAATGTATATGTTTTCATATTTTTACAATATGTAAATGTGGCAAAATGGCCTTTAACACCTCACTGAAACATGTGGAATAGTGTGTGTGTGTGTGTGTGTGTGTGTGTGTGTGTGTGTGTGTGTGTGTCTCATACTCTCACTATTTGCTTACCATCTCCCTTCCCAGAACAGTTTACAGTGACTGGCTTACGGGGGCCAATCTTGGCTCCTTTGCGTGGAATAGTTGAACTCAGCTGCCAGCTGTCCCCACCCCAAAATGCAGAACACATGGAGATACGCTGGTTCCGGGATCGCTATACACAACCTGTTCACCTATACAACAATGGCAAAGACCTGCATGTAGAAACTATCTCCAGGTATGTGGAGCGGACAGAGCTCCTGAAAGAAGCTATCAGAGAGGGTAAAGTGACCCTCAGGATCCTCAATGTCAGTGTTGATGACGATGGGCAGTATCACTGCTTCTTCAAAGAAGGTGCTTTCGATGAAGAAGCCATCACAGAAGTGAAGGTCACAGGTAGGGATGGATCTCTTTGAGGTTTTTACACATCTGATTCTTAACCCATCTGAGGCTGAATAGTCGGAAAATTCTCAGTGTTTGTGACTATTGCATGGTTTGGTTAGCAAGTTCAAATTCATGCATTTAGTCTTGGAACTGAGAATAGTATAGGATTAAGAATGCAAATTGTGCCTGCACACATTACCATTTTCAGATCAGAACTGTTTTCCCATGTGTCCATATACACTTAGATCTGTAAAGTATCAACAGATTCCTTTCCGAATTTATTACTATGCTTTTAATTATTTCTGACAACACTTTACTGAAACCTGACTTTGTAAACTACCTAAATCTTTACAATAGTCTCCTTAATGACAATTTTTATTCCCATTTCCCCTGACTCAGTTCACTGACTACTTAGTTTCAGACTAATTTTCTTAAATCTATTTCAAAAAACCTTCATCTAGAATCTTTAATATATATATATGGCCCGTTGCACATATTCGCACACTGATGAGGTCCCTCAGCCTGGCCTGTGCCCTCTTGCAATCCGGGACCCCTCAGTAAATGTCAGACTGCCAGTTTCAGCCCGATCCCCACAGTCTGACATCCCCAGAGGGATGTAATAGTGAGTGAAGCGGCAGGCGGCCTGGAAGGAGCCTGAGCCTGGACAAGCACTATGCCGCTCCTGCTCATCCCAGCCCCACTGTGCCTGCTGCCACCTCATAGCCACCGCTTGGTAGCACAACCACAGAGGTGGAAGAGGCTCACACCACTGCAGCTGCGCTTGCCAGCCATGACCCTGACTTCTGGCGCCCGTCAGTCAGCTGAGCAGCGCTCCCGCTGTGGGAGTGCACTGACCACCAGGGAGCAGCTCTTGTGTTGAGAGTTTCCCCCTGGTGGTCAGTGGGCATCATTCAGTCATTGGGTCACTTAGGCTTTTATATATATAGATATATATGTATTATATGCAAAAATATAGTACTTAAATCATTCACTTTACCCTTGAAGCATTTTGAATGACAGAAATTGTAGGCAGATGGAGGACTAAGAAACTAAAAGGTTTCACAAATGTGAGGGCACTAGTGTAAGGTGCTAGGCCCACTCACACTTAACATTTTTATTGGATACTAGGGTTCCGGTACACAAATTCGCGGACCTTAAAAGGAATTGTGGGCCATGAGGCTACAGTGGGCACAGGGGTGGGTCTCCGCCCATCCTCTGTGCCCCTGCCCAGCCCCTACCACTGTGTCCCCCGGCCCCCGTCTGCCAGCAGCCCCACTCCCACTGCTGTCGCTCCCATGCCCTGATGATGCCAGCCCTGCTTGCACCCGCTGATGTGGAACAATTGGGGTTAGTCCCAGCAGTGGGTGTGAGCAGGGCCAGCGCCATCAGCGGGTGCGAGTGGTAGCTGCTTCCCTGATCCCCGTCAGGAGCAGGAGGAGGTGGAGAAACCCTCAGAGGTGATGGGGGTTGGCAGCCGCTGCTCGCACCTGCTGATGGTGCTGAGCAGTGGGACCGGTGCTGGGTGCTGGCAGTGGGTGTGAGTGGCAGCTCTGGCACCAGCTGTGGGTACAAGCGGGGCTGGCACCTGCAATGGGTCCAAGTGGCAGCTCCGGTGCCAGCAGCAGTGGAAAGTGGGGCAGGCGCCAGCAGCAGGTGTGAGCGCTGGGTGGGATTGCAGCGCGTGGGAGCAAAGAATTTTCAGTAACCACCAGAGGCTTGCCCTGATGACAGCAACTGGAGCCCCGCCTTGATCTAGCGCCCCCACTCACCTGCTCCACAATCCGCTGTGGCCAATGCCCGCCATGTTCCCTGCTCTGCCACCTGCTGCCAATGCCCACCATGTTTCGTACACAGCCCCTGGTGGTAAGGGCATGTCATAGCAACCAGTTGTTCGGTTGTTTGGTTTTTCAGCTCTTTGGTCTATTTGCATAGTAGGGTTTTATATAGAGAGATTATGACACTCAGTACTATTGCTTAGAGTTGAGCTATCCAAATGACAACCATTAGCTGCATGTGACTATTTAAATTCATATTTAAGTTAAGTAAAATTAAAAATCAATTCTCATTCTCACTGTCCAAATCTCAAGTGCTTAATAGTCTCATGTAGCAAATAGCTACTGTATCAGGAAGCACTGATATCAAATATTCCCATCATTGCAGAAGCTTATTGAACAGAGCTTCTCTAGAGTAATGCTTTAAATCACTATTATTCTTCCTTTGCCTGCACATTTAGGCAAGCCTGATGTCCCAGGCAATAAACTGAATTTTTTAAAAAAAAAAACCTAGTTATTTTCTCTAAACTGATATGAAATACTTTATTTCTATAATAGTAATTGATTACTCATTTTATGCAAATACTCATTACATGCAAAGACATACCAGTACATGTAAAATGTCATTAAAGTTTTAAATACATTTATATTATTTGTTTACTTGTAACTGATGGCAGCTCAAACAGGACTAATGATGAAGATACAAGAAAAAACATTAAGCTATAAATTCAAGAGGACTGAGATCTTGACTGCTTAGTTCATTATTATATCTATATTTATTGCTAAGTCTCCTAGATTTAGTAAATAACAAAAATAATATTTTTGAATTAATAAATGGAACAAACATGCGTTTTCTCCCCTGAGTTGTTAATTTGTAAACCATAACCCTTCGGCCTGGTTTATCCTGTTTGTGGTGACAATCAGAGCCCCACAGTGCTTGGCTGTCAGTATAGCTAATGGAACAGGGATTAGAGTGGGGGAGGGAGGGCAGGCTTTTCTTTTTGTTTTTCTCATTTTCTTCACCTAAAAATCCTGTTTTGTCCCTTTCTTTCCAACCAGCTACAAGCTTAGGAATACAGATTCTTGTACATCCTCCTAATACCAAAGGTCTTTTGGTGGAGTGTAATACAGGAGGTTGGTTCCCACAGCCTCAAATGGAATGGAGAGACAGCAGAGGAGAGATCATTCCGCCTACATCCATATCCCATTCACAGGACACAGAGAAATTGTACAACATGAAGATGACCCTTCTCCTTAGACAGAGCTCCCATAGGAATGTCACTTGCTGCCTTCGAAACCCCGTAACTGGTCAAGAGGAAAGGACAAGCATTGTCCTATCAGGTGAGATCAGTGTGCTTGTTCTTCAAATGATGACCATTGTCATAAAATTTACAAACTAAAGAGAAAAATCAGTATACTTTCTTCACTTGGTTTCTAGGACATTACATTCTCTTGGCTTTATTCATGATTTCGCTCATTTTCTTATTTCTTTCTGCTACTTTGTCTTTTATCTCTATCCTTTTTAAGAGTTCCCCAAGGCTTAGTCTTTGAGCATTTTCTCTTGTGTCTTAATTACATCTCATAGCTTTCCATACCGTCAATATGACAATGGCTCCCCAAATGGTATCTCCTACCCAGATCTCTCTCCCTAAATTTAGTCTTATTTCTAAACTCAGCATCTCAATGTGGAAGTCTAATAAATATCCCAAATCCCACACATCAAACACTGAACTCCCAATCACCTCCTGACTTGTATAGTCTATTGCCTTCCCAATCCACACTTCATATTCTTAGTTTCAAAGAACAAAATCCTTGAAGTCATTATTGATCCCCATCATTCTCTCATATTCTATATCACATTTGTCAAAAGATAATAGTAGGTCTACCTTTAAAATAAATCTGGAGTCTCACCACTTTATTTCCACCATGCAAGTCTGAGACACTATCACCCATGGTCTGAATATTGGCAATAACATCTGAAAAGATCTCCCTATTTCTAGCCTTGTCCACTATGATGTATTCTCAACATATAGGTAGAAGAATCCATTTAAAACATAAGATACACAACATTACCTTTTATTCAAAACCCTGCAATGGCTCCCCATTTTATTCAGAGTAAAATGCCCCATAATGTCCTTCATTATCTGTGCCCATTACCCATCTGATCTCATCCCCTAATATTCTTCTTTATCTGCTCTAGGCTATGTCCCCCAAACATGCCAGACTTGCTCCTGCGTGGGGGTCTTTGCTCTAGTGGCTCCTCTTCCAAGAACACTGTAATTCCACTGAATGTCCTTCTCTCTTTCAAGTTTATGCTAAACTCTCACCTTTTTCATAAGGACTACTTTATTTTTTCCTTTTGCACATTTATGTTATCTATTTTATTTTTTAAATATTTATTGTTGAAAGTATTACA